TAAAGGAAAATTTTATTACAATGTGGCGACATAAACATAAATTGTACAAAATATGCGCCCAAATTATTCACTATACCCACCTACCTATAGACAAAATATGTTAGTTGCCAGTTATTTAACAGATTTTATATAATTTCATTAGGTTATTATATATGCAGAACATGGGGGGAAAGAATTGTTAGTAATGACGTCTAACAGCTCTGTTGCTACTCATAGTAGTATATCAGGTCGATCTTCACACGATCTCGCCAAGAAACCATCGTAATTAATTGTTGTCGTCATATTCATCATCGTCAACATATCAGCCATTAGCTGTCCACTACTGAACATAGTACTCCCGCATAAGAGGGGGTTTGGCCAATAGTTGCCACGCTAAACAGACGGATTGGCAACTGCAGTTAGTTTTTGGTGATGTTTTAAGAGGGACGTTACTATTTATCCCTCGACCATTAAATTCCCTTGTCGCCTTTTATGACACTCACAGGGTAGAAATTCATCACGATGAGCTAAATGACCTGCTGTCTTCCTCACTCATCATCTCTCACTGATGCCTTGCTATCGTATACTGATAGCGCAGGTGTCATCTTCTGCCATTTTCACCCTTAAAAAATACGCAAACCTATTTTACAGGTAGATAATGTTGAGGGCGTGGACGGTATTTCTAGAGTAAAAACACTGATTATATAAAATTGGTGTATTGCACATATCTATTATATACTTAACAATTATGTATTCAGGCGACCGCCTAGTTGTAGAGTACGGACACCATCACATTGACCTTCTATACTACGATACAAGGTGGTGCCACTAATTTAAAAAACATATATTTTAAAAATAAATTTTGTTGCTAGCTATTAGTTATACCTATGAGATTTTGTATAGGTGGGTAGGTACGGAATAATAACCCGTCTGCGTTAAGACTGTTAGTTCCTATTACTAGAGTAACTTTTTGGTCTGCCTTTATCAACAATCTCATCACCTTCTAAGTACACGAGTAGGTAAATACATAGGTGTATTGTCATTTGTTATTACCTCGTAAAACTTAACACAGATGCTTTAAACTTTTCTAGAATAAACTGCCCCGGGTTATACCTGCATATAACACCGTTGCATATAAATTGGAATAAGTTAATATATGTATATTCTTTTTTATAGCAGTTGTCTTTACTCTTGTAATTAGGTACATTGTGATCATGACTCTTGCAGTATTATACTATTGCAGAAAAAAATGTGAAAAATAATAAGAACACATCAGTTAATTTTTTTTTTATTTCACTAAGATAACAAAGAAGCGGCAAAACAGAACAGCCCACCTGTAATGAAAAGTTGTAGTATTTACATTTAGGTTCTCGTAAATAACAATGTCTGGAATGGATAAACCAATTGGGCTATATTTTTTAATTATTCCTTAGAGTCCGAGAAAAGTACTTATGAAGAGAAAGATAGAAAATTTCCCGGAAAAAATGTAAAACCCCTATTGTTCTTTTTCGCATACCTTTCCTACTTGATAGTTTAAACATTTTAATAGTTAGCGTATATCACGTTAGCTCGTTAATTAACATATAGCACATTTTATATTGTGTTTCATACTGTAGTAGTTTATTTATATATATTCAAACAACTTTAAAGAAGTATCCTACTTCTTTAAAGTTGGCTGAATATCATTTCACTACCTTAGATCTTCGTCATTTATAAACAAATTTGAAAAAATCTTTGATCTGAAAGGATACATTTTTAGATAGGTATCATATAAATTTTGTCAAAATCGGTTTAGTAGTTTAGTGTTTAAATCAAAATAATTTGTTGTGCCACGATTGAAGTTGTTTCGTTTTTTGGAACAAAATCTACTTGTGTTATTCTACTTTTTCTATGTGTAAATAAACAGGGTAATGCAGAGAAAATTACGCTATACTAAGTATATGTATTATTGCATTGCATACAAGTTGCATTGCTTATGAGTATTTATTATATTTATTAGTGTCCGATCGAACTTTCGGTTTTGGGTTTCGGCTAGTTTCGGCAAGAAATTCTACTTTTGGCCTTAGTTTCGATTTCGGCCAAAAATTAGCCGAAACTTTCGGCCGCAGCGAAACATTGTATGTGTATTTGTGTTGTGTGTGTGTCTAACTGAAAGTTATTCTTTTTTTTTTAAGTTTAGTTCTAAGAGTAAATCATAATTTTAACATGTTCAACTACACTGTACCACGTCTTTGTAAGCTGTTGAAGAATTGCAAGCAACACTTGGATATTAACTTCGATATGGAAGGGGATTTCTATAAGAAAACATTGCAGATAATTTGAATAGTTTAAATTTATGTGAAGCAATCATTTATTGAATCTAAAAAACTATACCTATGTCAAATAGCAATATAAATAATAATACAAACTCTTGAGTTTGTTGTACTGTTTTATTGTTTATTTGTTAATTAGCATGCTATGTTTCCTTATAAATAGACAATAATTTTAATATTAAATCTTATCAGTGTATCAATTGCTGAGAGACCAAATAAAGATAAAATAAACATGTTTTTACATATATCTAAATATATATGACATATTTGTTACATACTTTAACTAGTGTTTATTATTACCCTTTAACTATCTGTGTGTTTGTGTAAATAATTGTGTAAAAAATACACTAGATTTCAGTATAATAATAAAAGAGAAATTTGAAATATGTTTCAGTAAGTTTCGGTTTCGGTTTCGGCCGAAACTGAGAGCCAACAAAAAGTTCGGTCACGGTTGTAAACTAATAATTATAGATTTCTTAAACTATACATAACAAGCTCATTGAACCTGATAAATATGATAATAAGTAATTGTTGAAAATAAAGTATTTAGGTAACAATATAATTGTAGCAGCCTTAAATTACTAAGGTGCTTATTATTATTAATATAGATCCATAAATAGCACCTTAGTTATTTAAGACTGTTAGCTATGCCACTCTAGACGTTGTTGATTCTCATTTCAATAAAGATTTCACATGCTATATGACTGTTCAGATCCAAACTTAGTAATTCACTGATTCATTATAGTAAACACATACTTTAACAACAGTAAATGTATCTATGTCTTTGGCCATATTTTTTGAAACCCTCACCACAGATACCTACCGCAAGTGGCATTCGTCTAACCGTCTAACGGATAAAACTATAAAAGAGGAACATTCGATAAATTGCGCAGGTTGGAGGTTGTAATTTCAGTCTCAATGTCCCTGGGCGCCTCTTATGTTGCCGAAAGTTAAGTTATAGAAATATCCATATACCTATATACATTTACTTACATTAAAATGTACTCAGTATAATTTATAAATTTTTAACAGAAACAATGTTAAAATAATATGTAAAATTAGATGTGGTCATTATTTAACAAAAAAATGTTTATAGGTAAAAATAAAACAAATTCACCACAGAAGCGAGTGTTACAATGTATTGTGTATCTGTAATGCTGTTCATTTCTATAAGCAGAGACTATTTTACTATCATAAAAACTATATAACCTCTGCTATAGGTAATGGATAGCACTTCCGTTAGGTAGACTATCAGCTTGCTTTACTATATAAAAAATCTTTTGTAAATTCACTAAAACAAATAAATAATTTTGGCTAAATAAAGGCTGATTACGAATGAATTTCCATTATCATTTTTTATTTTTGATTTTCATCATAGTAGTTACTAAATTTATATTAGCACTTAGGTATTTTAAAGGCATAAATGAAGTAAATCAATACAAATAAAGTTAGGTAGGTACATAATAGAAAAAGAGCAATGAATTTAAATAAGATGATCTTCTGTTACTTGGATTGTGGTTGGCATATAATTAATTAGATACTGGAAGCCGCATCAGTTGAATTTTAAACCAAAAGATTTCCCATGAGGAGTTCACCTGCGGTTATAAGGTATAATTATATATAAAGTTATACCGTGGTATACCTACTTATAAAAAACCTCAAGTTAAAGCTCAAATCTTAAGAATATAGTAAGTACATAAAAATAGGGATGGAGGGATTGTTACTTATATAATAATGCAGCAATGAAAATTGGAGTATATTTTCTAAGGATGGTAATGCACTCACAGTATACATTGGCAGAATACCAGTGAAGGATGATAGGCGAGAATAAAGTAAAATCAATCAATTGTGACGAATCAACCACGATGTTTTTCGGGTGGGACCACGTAAAGGGTGATCTAACAGGATATATTACCCGGAATAGGAGTAGTTGTATCCATTAGTAACATTTAATCACCTTAATGAAGTAATCCCGTTCGCCCTTTAAAAATAGAAGAGAAAAAGAAAAACTAAGCCAAAAGGAACAGTAACTTTAGATGGACAATAGTCATGGAATTGAATTTTCGAATCGTTAATTGGAATATTGCTTGCATTTACGAAACCAAGGTCGTGACCCCAGCATTGTAGATGAAATATAGGACATAGTTTTTTAAGCAATAAGAACACACACATTAGGGATTCGATTTCTATGAGGGATTTCCTCAGTTAAGAAAGTACTGTGCGCATATTATATGTAGTTGTGTTAATAACATAATTTTAAGTAGTTTCAAATATGCTAGAACTTTGACCTTTTAAAATTACTTGATTGCTCGATATTTGGTCTATCTCTTCCTTCTAGTTCCTTATTACTATATCATAAATTTTTTCCAGCTTAAGAGGTAACAATTATCCAAATATAAATAAATCCTCATTTTTTGCAACATAACTTTTGGAGGGAAAAATGTAATGCTAATGTGAAATAAGATACATAACTCATAGAAGTAGCAATTTATGTACATAATGTTGTTTAATTACTGTTTTTTATTTTAACCAATGCATTATAAATTTCTTTGCATTTACACACACATTTAGACACTTAAAAATTGATGATACAAATCATAGAAAGTATAACCTTCACCTATGTATATAAAAAGCATTTTAATACCTCTACAAATAACCTCAACCCAATTATTTGTTTAAATAAATTTTAGAAAAAAGCAATAAAACAACTTATTTCAAATGATTTTAATAAATATCTCTTGGTGGTGGCCTACCAAACAAAAGTTTCCATGATACTGGTTGTATCATTTGTGACAATAAATCAAATTTGTCAGAAAATAATGGTACTACACTTGACAAATGACTGATCATATCATAGGCATCTGGAATATTGTCTCCTTCTGAACAATACTTATACAAAATTAAACATGGCATGGAGTTTTCTTGACAAATTTCATAGAGTAAAGAAGAAAATCCCCCACCATATATCTTCAAAGGTGAATCAACACATTTATGTTCTATCCAGTGCAAATCAAGAATTTTCTTCTTATATAAAGATGATTCACTTGCCACAAACCTAAATGGTGAAGTAGATATATGCTTATTTTCATGAGCAAAACTACTTGTTAGTATAATAATATCTTTTATGTTTTTCTCTTTGAATCTCTTTATAATTTCTTCAAGAAAGATTCGTGCACTTTTGCAAATAAGTGGAGCCCTTAATTGTAAGACAACAATGTTTTTTCTGTCAGATTTATAAATTTCACAACTGCTTGAAAGACTGTTGGATTGTAAATTGTATGGATCATATCCTAATACAGGTATGAGAGCAGGGCTATAAACCGATGCAATTTTTTTCATTTGTAACGACGAAATTAGCAAGTCACAGGATAATTGTCCAACATTTCCAACTGCGACACTTGGTACTATCAAAGTATATTCGTTCAAATCACTATTATCAATAAAATTCCAAATATCGTGACCCATAATAACAATAGGTATTAATTATAGCCTAAAAATTAGATTAAATAAAAAATTTACTTTATATTTAAAAATAAAAATCTTATTACTTTTTGTTAACCTTTAAGATGACAATTAGTGATGGGATTCGAGTTGCTTTTCACTCGAGTGACTCGAGTAGTTTTTATATTACATGTACTCGAGTTAAATTTTTGACGACTCGAGTTTCGAGTGACTCGCGTCGACTCGAATTACGAGTGACTTGAGTTGACTCGTACCACTCGAGTGGTTTATACCGAACTGAGTGAGAAATTCAAATTGTGACAAGTTTACCCGCGGTAGCAGGAAACTTTTAAGAGAGAAAATTCTTCCTGATGCTTATCATGCCGCACGCACTATAATTGTAGATATTCTACATTTAGTTGAATATACGGCTGCTACAACAGATTTATGGACTTCTGACAATAATAAAGCATACCTAACTATTACAATACTTATAATTCAAAACTTTTTTCGCAAACTGTTACTACTAAAGAGGTTACGGAGAAACATTCTTCTATTATTTTAGCAAGTGTGCTGAAGTCGATATTATCGAAGCCGTTTGGTAGGGAAAAAATTGATCAATTTATTTTTTTAAAGTAGTTATTACACCAATTTCAATTAAATTTGTTATCTCATTAAAGATACATTTTTTTTTTTTTTTTGTTGAGTTTATTTAAGTTTTATTTAAATTAATTTTAAAACACGTATATTATTACATAAATTGTGTAAGAACATAATAAAACTGTTTATATTTGGATCTCATGAAAGTTCCTTGTTAGAATAAATTAAATTGGATTAGAACTTATTAGTAGTAGATTATGGTATAATATTTTAATTTGACTGATAGTTGATATAAGAGGTTTCTTGATTATGTATGACAGGTTTAGTTTGAAGGAAAATTCTATTTTTTACATTTTGTTTAGATTTTTTTTTGAGAAAATGAATACACATTTTCTATGTAAAATTAATACTGTTTTATTCATTTTAAAATTTTGGTCACTCGAGTTTTATATTCCGAGTGACTCGAGTCAATAAAAATCACTCGAGTTTTATCTTCACTCGAGTGGCATTCGAGTGAGTAAATTATCAGTACCGAGTGACTCGAGTGAAAAAAAATCACTCGAGTCCCATCACTAATGACAATTAAAAAAATATGTGTATTAAAATCTTAGATTATAAATAATACTCAGACATTCATATGTAGATTAAAAATATTGTAGGTAGCTATGTCAGTGGTTTATTAGTTGAGATTTATGGGGAACGTCGACGGTCTAAAGTTAAAGAAACTTATACTGCGTTTTTAAAAAATATCTCTTAATAATATATGCACATTATTATATATGTACTTTCAATCTTAAGGTAGCCTTTAGTGTAATGTTAAGATTAAAAATAAATATGCACGTATTTGGTTATTACCTGCAGGAGAGAAATGTAATATTTTGCCTTGAAAACTTTAATCTCACATGAATTACAAACTACAGTATATGCATCCTTAACCAAGCCTCTTGACACATTGTATCATGTCTGTGAATTGTATTTAAAAAAGTAAATACGTTATTGTAAATCGATATTGCGGTAGCTGATTTAACAGCGTTTAAGGTATAAACATTAGTGCTGCCTCTGGAAAACGGTTTAGGAATTAAAATTACTTTTAAAATAAAACTGTACTCTGTAAACAAAGGCTTAGTCAATCGACACTATTCTGTGGTCGAGAGTCAACGATATTTGTCAGTGTGACTGAAATTACCTCTGTTTCTTTAACTAGAATTCAACTATCAAAAATAATCTTTTTCATTGATTTAATTCCATTCTATCATTTTCCACCCAACCATTATAGATTTTTACTTAATCATTTGACTAAAAAGATTGTAATTCTGTCAATGGGCTTAGGAAATCCATGGTTATTGAGTTTTTTCAATTGTTTTATTTTTTTCAAGGTACTACAATATTAAGTATTTACTATCGTGCTGATTATGAACGATAAAGAAAGCGTGGATCCACAATTACAAGACTTCATACTAGCTGAAACGCAGAAACAACGTTTTCAGGTTACAAACTTTGTATTCTTAACCTAAAACACTGTTAAACTGAAACTTAAATACATTTATCGGAAATCACATCGGCCTCATTTTTATCATTAAGTTAATTATTATTCTCCAAGTCTAACTGAACTTTGATCTATGTCGTTGTCAATCACTATGACTTAATGTAATGTAATCTGTTGACCAAATGTTTTTGTAACACACGACTATTTTAAATAAAGAGAGTAATTACACAATAGTTTCTAGAAAAAAATCAATTTTTTGCTTTTACAAAACAAAGTAATACAATAATACTATTACTGACTTTCAGGTTCTGGTACATGGTTTAACAGATACATGTTGGGATACATGTATGGGTTCTCCGAGCAAGCGTCTTGATTCAAAAACTGAAGTATGCATAATGAACTGTGTTGAAAGATTTATTGACGCTACAACATTTATAACTAAACGTCTAATGAACACCACTAAATACCGCTCTGAAGCTCCTCTTGATTTTCAATAATTTTAAAAAAGTAAGTTTCACATTAAATTAACCATGTTTTCTAGCATTCGAAATTTCTTGCACCGGCACAAAAGGAAGTTCATTATTACGGGTGCAGTATTTGGAGGATTGTACATTTTATCAAGTTATGCCCAGAGAAAACTAAGAGAATGGCAAGAAAAAGAAGCCAAAAAATTCTTTGAAATGACCCGTAAAAAACAACACTTTGAAAGTACTGAACGTACATGTAATCAAACTATACTTTCTCTATCAAAAATTGTTTCTGAAAGTATATTAGGATTATTAAATACAGAAGAAATAGTTCAAAAATTGCAAGAAAATCCTGAAAATAAATTGGCACTATGGGAACAATTGAAACTAATGATTTTTACAAGAATATGTGTCCTTGTATATGCACTAAGCATATTACAAGTGACATTAAGGGTTCAGCTAAACATAGTTGGTGGTTACCTTTACAGAGATTCTGTAAATGATGATGACCCACTTATAGATAGTGATTTGCAGGCAAGATACTTATCTTTATGCCATCACTTTGTTGGTCAAGGTGTAGAAGATTTAGTGAAACAAATTGAAAAGGCTGTGAAAAGAGTTGTAGAACCAGTTTCACTAAAAAAGAAAATTACCCTACAAGAAGTGGAACAATTGTTTTGGTCTATACAAACTATTTTATGTACTGATACTATAGATGGTGATCCTGTAAAGAAAATGGTACATTACTTGGTTGGTCATACAGAGATAAATGAAGCGAGACTGGACACCATGGTAAAAGAGACAATGGATATACTGGAGAGCGATGAAGTGACATCAATTGCTATGTCCTCAGTCAGTCGAAGCTTTTCATCTGTAATTGATGAAATAGCAAACTTATTTGTGAACAAGTCACCTCCAACAACTAAGAACCATTTGGAGATTGATGAACATGTAATAACAAATGGAGCTTTGAAATTAGGGGCAACTCCAGATGGTTTTGTGGATGTAAATAAAGTTGAATTACATTTTGTCAAATTGATCCCTGTGGTCAATGAGCTAATTACCAAGAACACATGCAAGGGTAATACTAACATTCCAGATTTATTAACACAGCAACTTATACTTAATGAAAAATTGAAACTGTTAGGTGCAAATATCTATGAAGTATTTAGTAGTAGTTCATAAAATTATAAGCCCATTGAGCTCATATAAATGTATACATATAGTTAAACCTTTAAATATTTTATGGTGATTTGTTGTAGCTCTAGTTTTATTTTGTAGATTCAATGGTATATATTGAAACATGTTGCTTTTAATATACATACTTATATTTAGAGTAATTCATGATAATTATTCAAGATCTAGTTTTGTATAATACCCATGACTATTAGTTTAGGTGAGGTGTTAAGTTCTTTTTTATATTATAAAGCATTTCGGGGAAATTAATAAAAATTAAATTACACAAATATTTACATTTCATTAGTTGAGCCTAAGAAGTTACGTTATGGTAACATATTGATTCACTAGAATAAAAAATACAACTTACGATATGTATGCTAAATTACATGACTATATGGAGCTTACTTCCAATCCCAATGGATGTACCAGTGATGTTATAACATAAACTTCATTTCTGCTTTATTATGTAGTGATAGTGAAAAAAGTTATTAAAAACTTTTGTTTACCTACCATTATGATGTCTTTTTTAAATTACTCTGTTGGTAGACTTCTAATGAAAATTTGTTGTTTATGTTGTATTAATATGGAAGCACCTCTTTTGCAGAGGTTTTCATAAATTTTTCTATTGTACTATTGGTGGAGCTATTAAATGTATTAAAAGATAAAAATTCTCATATTATTAATATTTGAATACAATAACATTCATTACACAGACATTATTACTTTGTTGAATAAAGATGATTTGAATAAAGACATTTAAAAAAAAAAATTTCCTACCGATTGTGACAAATTGTCAGCCCACCTAATGGAAAATTATTACAACAACCACTATATAATCCCGTAATATACAGTACTCATTATTTCAGCCTTAAAAGGAACCTTGAGCACTGTTTTCCCCATACAAACGTATTCCCCTGTTTTGTCACTCCCAATACAACAGTATAGATGATATGTCACTTTTGTCAGTATTTTTCTTTTTAATACATGATAATGGAATGGTAACCGCGCTTGCACTATCGCTATAAACTGGCGGGGTACTAGTGAAGGATGGTATATGAGGATGAAAGCAGGTCAGTTAACCAATCTTGATGAATTCAACAAGAATAACCATGATACTTTCCAGGAAAACCACACAGAAGTCTACCTGATAAGATATATTGCTAGTAATAGAGATTCTGAATCCTTATTACTAACAATTCTTTTTTTTTTATACAACTTAGAATGGCAAACAAGCTGACGGCCCACCTGATGGAAAGTGGTAACCCTCAGTTGTCAAAGGTTCAAACAAGACTTTTCAAACTAAAAAAAGCAAGTCATTATTCCATGTTAGTAAAAATTAATAAGAAAATGCTGCTATTTAATTAAAAATATGTCTTAGTATGCTGAACATAAGTCACGTTTATACTGCATCACAATTGGAATGCCAAGGATCCATCAACTTCTGCAACACTTAAAATCAACCCTTGATTCTCATGACGGGCGTCCCCAAACTGCGATTGCTTATCAGTCGTCAATAAAGAACATTTCTTTCCCATCCAGTTATCATTGTGACTAGCCATTTATCACTCCAGTTTCTAATCCTTTAAACTGTATATTTCTTTTTTTTTATACAACTTAGAATGGCAAACAAGCTGACGGCCCCTCTAATGGAAAGTGGTAACTATCGCAGTACCATGGACATAACAGAGTATACTGTTTCGCCTATGATATGAAATTAAAACATTAAAATTAAAACATTAAATAAGAGGATCACATCTACAAGTTGTAAACTTATTTTGCTTGGTTGGCCCTCCTCTAGATCGGGCTTTATTTTTTTTTATACAACTTAGAATGGCAAACAAGCTGACGGCCCACCTGATGGAAAATGGTAACCGACATAACAGAATGTACCGTTTCGCCCATGATACCTCCCATGCGTTGCCATTCCTAAGGACTCGGATGTTATTCCTCTGTACCCTGTAAATTCACGCCATATCCCACCCTTCAAACCGAAACGCAACAGCTTTACATAAATGAAGAAAAATAATAAAATAAATTATTAATTATTTATATAAATGAGTTGTCTAGATTCCTAAATGCATCTCTAATACCTTCATATCAAATATATACCTACCAAATAATAAATACCGTATTAAGATTGATTCAGGGTTGGCAATTCGCATATGATACCCCTAGTGTTGCAAGCATCCATAGGCTACAGTGACCGTTTACCATTAGACGAGCTGTATCTTTAATTGCCACCTTCGTAGTATAAAAAATAATAATAATAAATGTAGAGCTTACTGCGTAAAACGATACCAAAAAGACAAATCAGGAAGTGACCTAGCCACTAATATAGTTGGGCCTAAATATAGACAAAAAAACATCGGCGACATTAATGAGAAAACCATAATTTAGTGTCAAGAACTGGGTATTTTAATTTCGTAACGCTAATCAATTCTCAATTTTTACGATAAAAAAAAATAATTTAGACTTTAAGAAAAGTAATTAGGTAAATAAATTTGATTAAAATAAACAAGATTTTAATTAAGTATAAAAATCGTATCTTTGATCGTAATAAACATGTATTATCTGCGAGTATTTCAAAGACGTTATTATCATTTACATAGCTACCTAATAGAATAAAACATGAGAATTACAAGTAATTTCCTTAATTAAGTATTTAATTAATTATGTAGTACTATAATTTATAAATAGGTATCTTCTTATAAGCGATTCCTATCTTTATATGTAAACATTAGGATTAGTCGTATTATAAATTACTAAGCCATACCTAACCAATATGCTTTCTATCTGCTACTTACGACGCCGACGAGCGTTGCGGACCGCTAAAAAAAGATATGTGATTTCGCTATTTGGGCCACGAATTCAACGCAAGGGACAGTCAGTTTCGGCTAAATTATGGGATTAATCAAAGCAGTGTCAGTTAAAATAAACATTGTTTTGGATGTCGCCTATCGCAATGCGTGACAGCCGGACGAAAAAGATTTCCGCGTTATAAATAAATGTGCGAGACACTGAACTGATGAACTGGCTTGTTTCTTGACACCAACTAATTATGGACCATTATTACCACTTGATCATTAATTGCCATCACATTGTGTTATCGTATTTTATCTTAAACCGTTCACGACAGGAGGTAAATAGTCGACCATAGATTCTTCTTCTTCACCATTTCATTATATCCTCCTTCAACTCCCAGGTCCGACAATCGCTAGATTCTATCGCGCTGTAGTTACTTAGCCAATTTCATCCACATTATTCCCATATCTGAATAAAATAATATTATTGAAATCATTTTGTTTCATATATTTTGTTTGTGTTGCGAATTACTGAACTATCAGATGTAAATCAGCATAACAATCATCAACTGCGGCGGCCCTCAATGCGGCGTGGATATGCGGCAGGCGGCGCGGTGCGACCTGCGCGCGCACTCCATCCGTGCCGCCAATAACCCGATAGACCTCGGCGAACGCGCGCCTCTCTCGCCTTATCGAAATCGAAATATCGACGCACAAATGTATACCACACACCCGTATTATATACTTTGAACACCGTGACTGAAATTTGACGTGAAATCACATTTAGTGGAAAATACAAAAGGTTTTGTTTCAACAGGACTATCCAACAGTTTCACTATTCTCATCTGTGTGCACTCTTATCACTTATCAACCGCTGTGCAGTGCGCATTTTGTGTAAGTAAATCACTATTGATATTTTTTATATGATATTATTTATATGAATTAATTAATTATATTCAATGCATTTCCCAACAGTCAATATTATGATATCATAGTGAAAATTAAACTCCGTTACCGTTTATTCTATTAATTTTAAACACTTAAACTAGATACTTCTATTATTATGTGATAATAAATATATTTGCTCAAAGTTAATAAATATATTAAATAAAGTATTAAAATATATATAGATTAAGAAAAAATGCTTAAATTTTGTAATACTTAGTTACTGTTTTCTTCTTGATATATTTAATAAATACTTAAAAATATTTAGATACATTAAATGGTAATAAAAACCAACAAACATTAAACCAAATAATTTTATACCTTTCATGATTATTTTAAATTGTTTGTTTATATCTAACTTATCATAAATCATAAGCGGTATCATACTTATGTAGATAGGTATATTATAACTTAGGGAATACTGAATCACAAACGACGTAGAATAATATCCAGAAAAATACCTAGATGTAAGGCTTTATTTATTTTGATTTCTCAACATAATCTAGTCCAGTCGAAACTCACAACTACGGATCTTACTTACGCAACCTAAAGTACCTAAGGTTGAATAGGATCCGGAGATTTTGAGCTATTACGTATACGAAACGCTCTTGATATAAGTAATGGTTGCGATATAGAATTAACAATTTCATGTATTACGATAAAAAATATATTTATTCACGATAATATTTATTAAATAAAACCATAATCATAAATAGATTTATATATATATATATATATATATATATATATATATATATATATATATATATATATATATATATATATATATATATATATATATCCAAATATATACCAGAGGGAATACATCTCCCTCTGGTATATGTACAAAAGTCGTTTACTTGGGCACCTCTGTCCCATTCGTGTTTATGCCGTGCAGCAGTTGTGTTTGCATGGCTGTGTTTCGGTTTGAAGGGTGGGATATAGCAGTGAATATACAGGGTACAGAAAAATAATACCCGAGTCCTCAGGAATGGCAACGCATGGAGCGTATCATGGGCGAAACAGTATACTCTATTGTGTTTATGGTACTGCTCATGTCTATAGGCGACAGTTACCACTTACCATCAGATGAGCCGTCAGCTTGTTTGCTATTATAAGTTGCATAAAAAAACACTAAAGGCAAAATATGAAGCTTATTAAAAATTTTAGCCGTAGCAGAAAAAATACACGAAACCCAAAATTTCATACCCTAAAACACTAAGTCAATGCATGAGGTGCAGGTATGTTACAATTTCAATCACGAAACGGAACTAATCATTTTTTATTTACTATATCATAAAGATAATCTACGCCAATATATAGGTACCTATTTATATATTCAGTTTCTAATACACTATAAGCTGATTAGATTAAGTTAGGTATGTAGGTACATCAAGAGTAGAGAATATAACGGATCGATTATGCGACAATAATGTGCATGTTACCTTGTTGATATTTACTCAGTTACTTATTCAAACGTTCTCGACCTCCGGTGACGTTATTATAAGATTTAAGCAAAACATTTTGATTACAACTACCAAATTAGACATTGTCTATTCTTTGTATAAGACTAATGATAGGTATAGGTTCCATTATCACTACTGATCTCCATTTAGGATAAGAATAACATTACCTTACTATTATACCAAACTGGACAGACTATTCAGTAACATTTTATTTCATGTTTTTCTTCTTTATTATTGTCTTCATCTAACATCTAGGAATGAAAAAGTAGAGTGCATTGTTCCATTCTAATATACCTATTT